GATAGAACAAAATAAAAAACATTAAGGGCCAAAGGTCGAGAGGAAGCAAAGCAAAGCAAACCTCTTGTTATTAGAGTGAAACCCCACGAAAGCCGACGTTATCCAAAGATTTTCTGCTGCGATAAATTTGATTTTGCTTCTATCTATTGCTCAGGATTAATTAGGAATAGGAGAAAGCAAGAACAGACTCTTAATATAATATAAGGTATTGCAAAGTATATGAACTATAAATAGTATAATTCATACACACACGAAAGTATAATCGTATTTTTTAAAAAAACACCTTGCCTAAAGTCAAATTGAAAACAGAGATACTTTCATACCTACTTTTAAACCAGATTTCATATCAAATTGTTTCCATGCATTTATCTTTTAGAAGCAAGGCATGTTTCGGATACCAAAGCCTACTATGCCTGTACCAACTGCAACAACAATTACAAAACGTTCCAAGCAGACTCAAAGTTGTCTGTATGCATCTTATGAATGTACACAATCTTGTCTGGAAGGATATTCATATTGTGCCAAGCATATTCTTGAAGATTCCAGTGCACCTTACAAACAATGTGCATTTGTATACAATACTAACGGAAGAAAGTGTCAGAATCCAGCCCCAAAATTGGATAGAAGAGATGTCTCGTAAATATAATTCCTTTATTGTATCCAATAAAATTATGAAACCATTCTTTTTTTAGAGAAATTAATAGTTATATATCTATCTCTTGTAGATACTGTGGTGAGCACTCTAGAAAAGCACAAATTGCCCGGATCAAATCGACATCACGGCGTTCTTTACCAGAAACACCTGAGATGCTGCTTCTTAATTTAAACCATTATGTCAAACCGGTTGATTCTACTGCTGAAGATATAGAAGAGGAGAAACGAAAAGTGAAAGCTTTAGATCCTTTCAGTAAGCATTCTAATATGATTCCAATATCAAATTCTTATATAATTTTATTTGCAATGTTTAATTACATTATCTTAATGTTGATTTGAAAGCTATTTTGAATATTTTATTTAAAATAGCCTTCACTCTTGTTGTTAATAAGGTATTTCTACTGTGTAAATATTTAATATAAAATTTGGAATTTGTAAATTTTTGCTTGTTCATTTGTAAATTTGCATATTGACAAAAGTTTTTGCAAATGAGAATATCAAGTTATTATTTTCAGCCGAAGTTGATGCTTACAGAGTAAATGCAAGTGGAAGTGACATCTTAGATTACGCCAGTTCGTCAGAAAGTGATGTTGAACCTACAGTCGTCACTGACACGCTGAGAGGAGTTTATCTCGATGATAGTGACAATGAAAATTTACACAGTCCACAAGAGGATCCTCTGAAGTAAGTGTGCTCTATAACTCTACTGTGTGTGTGTGTGTATTTTGGTGTACATATGAGTATATTAATTGTTTTGAGAATTACGCTATTACATAATGTCTGTATCAGACTAGAGATTGAAATTAAATTGGATTGGATAGAAATTTAATCAATTAGAAGAAAGAAAACCAAGTTTAGTGAACTTTGCTTTGATTGGTTCAAATTTCAACCCAATCTCAATCTCTGTCTCTAGTGTGATACAGCTTTAGAATAATCTGCTAGCATGCTTCAGCTTGTGCAACTTTATACTTTAAAAAATATTACTCACCTTTTATTATTTACATCTAATATTAGAACTTATTTGTATAGGATGTAAATTTGAACAGTTACTGTGATTTTAAATTAAATATTTCTCAAACAAATGTAAAAACATTAATAAAATATTTTCTCCTCTTTTTAATTTTAAAAAATCATACAACGTTAAGGAGAGAGAGAGAGAGAGAGAGAGAGAGAGAGAGAGAATATTTTGCATTTGTCATCTTGAACTTTCCTGTAGTTGCTTTATGCGCAAGAATAAGATACTACTTACTCCCTAAATTATTAGTATTAATTTTTTAAGGCACGCCGGTATTTTTACTGCAGAAGAGGTAATTTATATTGCGAGAGAAAAATTGATTAGACTTCAATCTCTTTATATTGATCAATTCAGAAGACTTCAATATATACTAAAGGAGAAAAGACGAAAATATTTACTCGCTCTGAAGAAAGAAAAAGAAACATTATGTAAGTATATTTTAGATAATTTCAAAATTTCGTTATTTTTTCTGATAAATAAATTATATGCAATATATAGGTAGTATACACAATCAAAAAAGAGAAACTGCAAAAGAGAAAAAGCTTTATGAGAAACTAAAGGCTTTAAATCGTTATCACAGACGGAGTGGTGTTGAAGCGATACTTTACAGGAAGTCATTAGAACGTCGCGCACAGGTAGTATCATTAATATTATTTATATCATTCAACATTTATATCGTCAACATTCAAATAAATGTGTATCACTTATATCAGTTGTTGTGTATGAAAAAAAATTATGCTTCAGGTAACCGAGCCTGTTCAAAAACCGCCCAATATATCGAAATGCGTATTCACCGAAGGTGGTGTAAAATGTGGTGAAAGAACGCTTCCATCGGCTAAGCATTGTCGTAAACATATATTAAAGGTACACATTTATATTACTTTCTGAAAAAGAGATGTGTAATGGACACATCTTGATTTGCGAGTTCTTATTCTGTTGTTTGTTCACAGGACCAACATCAAGTTTTATTCAAAGCATGCGGAGCTGTACGAGCGGACATTGAATGTCACGAACCTGTGCCAGTGATCTTCGATTCCAATTGTGTATTTCACATGAACTTGCCGCCGCCATGCAAACTAGAGCCTATGAAGGTACGGTAGAATTCTCCAATGACTATCTGAAGCCAGTTATGGATATTCTGTAACCTGTATTCGTCTCTGCAGTTCGAGGAGGAGAAACCCATAAAGCAAGGAGCATCGATAGTCGATAGTCAATCGATGGAAATTGATGTGGTGGGCGAAGCGCAAGAAATCGATCCCGATGACGATATGGCGGGACTGATGAGGGAAATGAATGATTCTGCTAATTTAAAACCTTCATTTGCAAATGAGAGCTTGAATAGTGAGACTAGTACGGATACGGCGTTCAGTTTGTCAGCGCAAATGAGTGATCGGGATGATTTCGTCACTGTATAACAAAATATTCTTATGATTTTCAAAGTGGAATTATTTTTGCGATTATACTGTCGCTGCGATTGATGAAAGTGTCCCTCTCTGATATTTTGAAAAGAATTGCAATTTTTTAACCTGGCTACTTAGTATATGATTACATACATACCTATATACAGTGAACTTATCTTCTTCACTTATAGTAGAACTATTTAAACTAAATTGTTAATATATTTGTACATAATCAGAGAAATAGACTAGATACGAGAAACAGTTATAAAATAGTATTATTAAATATTTTAGTATTATTTTTTTTGACATAATAGATATTAAATTGTATTATTTCAATACTCTTTTTGTTCTTCATTACAAAGGTATCTTCAAGGAAATTGAGAAACAAGAGCTTCTATAATTTTATTATTAATATTTATTGAAATTGAGAAGCAATGTATTTTCTATTTTCTATTGGTGGATTGTTAATCATTTTCGCCATTGAATATTTCAGTATTCGAGTATTTGAAATACTTAATCAGATATCTTATTATCTCAGATGTCATCCGAGTAAAATGTTATATTCGAATACCAAATAAAATGGTTTTTTTTTTTTTAATTAAAAGAAGAGTGCGGTTTATTTTATCTGTATCTCAGTAGCGCAGTTCAAATCTCAGTTCACAAGTGTGCACAAACAAAATTGATTATACAAAAACACATAACGCTCTTTACATTTTTACATTTTCTATAAAAATAACCAAAATTGCACGCATGTGTTATTGGTTATAAAAAAATATATATTAATACTTATATGTATAATTAAAAGAGGAACTTATAATATATGGATGGAATTAAATTTTTGACAGAATAGCAATAATTTTGAAAAGTCAATGTATCATAGCAACGTACAGTACAATTGCTTACATAGCTATAATTTTTCGTACATTTAAATGCATTTCAATATGCATAACGATCATGAAGTAAAAGTGACAACGTGAAAAAATTAAAGTTCTTAGCATTTCAATACAGTGTATATAAAATCCTAAAATTATTACTATCATTATCGTTATTATTACAATTATTAATATTATCGTTATTATTAATATTTGGCGAAAATAAACACTCGTGTATTATAAACATAAATACAAGTTTCAAATATTGTCATGTATGTATGATACTTCTCCTAAGTCGTGTTGATTCGTGAGACAAATCTTTTTTGAGACCGTGCAGCATTTTTCTTCCTTGTAAAGAAATATAATAAGCAGTTAAAAAAATAACTGACATTCTTATCTCTAAAAATCTAGTAATAAATCTATTTAAATTGCAAGAACATGATAATATTCAAAGTCTCGTAATAATGTAGTTTTATATCAATAATGAAATATACATTGATTCGTAAGTAAATCGGTTATGCAAAATTATCACAAATTTGCTGCAAACTAACAATATTTAAATATACTCTTTTTGTACGTTCTTCCAGCCAGTTAATAATCAGAAATATCGTACTAAACGTCACATGTGCAATCTACACAGAGCTTGTACAAAGTTTTTTTTTTTCGTAAAACAATACTATACATGACTCTCCCTCAATATCATACATTTAACAGTAATGAATGTGAATTACTGACAATAACTAACGTCATTGACATGTGATTAACTTCGTAAAAGAAAAAAATTTATTATTTGTTTCAAAATCGTTCAGTCTCTTGATAACTATTTACATAGCTACTAGAAAATTAAAAATTTATTTTATTACGATGGAAAAATTAATTTTGCTGACCCAATAAGAGTATCTCTAAGCTAATCTCGGAAAAAGCATGGAAATATCTTTAGTATAAGTTGGTTCGGAAATAATTAACACAGTTTGTAATTCGATTGCTTGACAATTCGATTACTGGTACTCTGTCTAATAGAAATCCTATTCCTTCAGAATTCAACACTTTCGTTTCTCTAAAGTACTTTTATCGGCAATCCGAATTCGGATATTGTCGCTTTATCTAAACTGCAACCTAATTTGTGTAGCCTTCCCATTACGTTCTTTCTTTCGAGATACAAGAAATAATTTTAAAGAGGAAGGGAGAAAGAAAGAGAGAGCAACTTACTTTCATTGTAACGTTAAATGCTAAAGGATTGCTAATGAGATTAAATCACAAAGAGATACGACAGTTTAAACGTAACAGGAAGAGATTTCATTTATAACATTAATACGAGAGCAATTACTTATTAATCTAGTTGTCGAAAATATGTTTAAGATCGTGCTCGTAGGCGGCGATAAGTAACATAATTCCAAGGCCTGTCGATAAGCCTAAAGTTTGCCAAATGCATTGTAATCGCGAACCACTTTCCGCGGAATGACTCGACGATAATTCTGGTACCTAATGAAAAAGAAGTAATTAGCGTTTCATTCTTAAGTTATCGTAGATCTTTCGTAGAACGAAGTATACTCACCATATCTACTAATGCTATATATATAAATATTCCAGCGGCAACCGCAAATATCCAGCTGGTAGCGTCGGGAGTACTTCCTAACAATATTCCGCCTATCATACCTAACAGACAGAGCACTGAAGATAATAAATTGTAAAAAACAGCCTGTTTGGTACTCATGCCCGCTTTCAGAAGCACTGCAAAGTCACCTGTACAAGAATATTCATTATCATTATATTCATATTATTGTATTACTAATAGCGAATTCTAATGGACACACTTAGTGTGCACTGACGCACATTATCGCCGTCATACACAAATTGTCGTAAAAAAAAAAATATGATTATTATAAACATAGAAACCTATTAAACCCATTAAATAGTGAAATACTCAACTCACTTTATTATGCTGTTAGGTAAAATATGTATTTTATAATTCGAAATATTTGCATTTTCCTTTTACACTCAAATTAAATTAGTGTACAACGGCTTTAATATACATCAGTGCGCAATAGTGCGTCCAACCGAATTCGCCGTAGTTATACACATGTATTTATAGGTACGTCACCAGGAATCAGAGAGACAATACCGAGTTCATGAGGTAATTCATGACAGAGAACAGCAATAGCCGTGGAGAATCCACCTGCGATGTTTGCTGAAAAAGCCGCTCCGATAGCCATACCATCCGTAAAATTGTGCAGGCCATCCCCCATCACAACCATCCAAGCCACGTTCGACATTGATTCGGGGGCCGAGTGTACATGGCCTAGAATCGAAACATTCATGTTATCAGACATGTACACATTGCGTAAGAGATTACAGTATTTATATTTTATTATAAAATTTTGAAAACGCACCATGGGAATGACTATGGCCGTGATGTTTGGTCTCGTGTTCACGTAGAATTACGGTATAGCTCTCCGATTCATTTAACGATACGTCAGCACCATCGGCATTTTTCTTAGCATTTACGATCGGATCGTCCATTCTCCAATCGTCCTTTGGTTTTTTCTCTATATCATCGGTCACGATTTTAGTGACGGAGTTACAATTGGATGTCAATGGTTTCTCCTCCTCAATGATAGGTGGTCTCTCATGATGATTCGTTCGACGATTGTGATGGTTATCTGCATATTTCATTGATTATTTTTACCTTTTAATATGCCTTTGAGATGAATATATTAACACGACAAGCTGCTCTATTTTGATCGAAACGCGACAGCCCAGGTAACCGCGAAATTTAATGTACATTACATTAATAAAAAAAAACATCTGTCACCTTGAGTTTCACTAGCAATCTCGCCGTAACAATACGGGTACGAAGAGTATTTGTGTTTACATAGCTTTTCACCAACAACATTGCTGTTTGGCCCATCGCTCTCCCTCATTACTCTCACGCGCGTAGGTAACTACAATGTCATTTCACCGATTGATATAACATATGAGATTACGTTTACGAAGATAAAGATTCCTCTTTTATTCACCTTTTTCTTATGCTGCCAATGCTTCCGCCATTCGGATATCATATTTAACGCCTTCTCAGTGAAGAAGAACGTCATGAAACCCATCATAGCGACTAATCCTTTCCACATATTCATACTATGCAGATTCACATGATCAATTAATAACGCGCTATTTTCGTCGTGGTGAGGTTCGTGTTCGTGATGTTTATCATTTTCATGGTGATGAGGTGGCATCATCGCCTACAGACGTAAGAGAGATATTATGATATTAAAATATGTCGTTCTGCTACGGACACATATAACACCTTGATAAAATAAAAAAAACTTGCGTGTGGTAATAGATGGATAAAGGCATCACCGGTTAAAGTACCTACGGCCAGGGCAACTAGAAACTGTAGCACGTGATGGTAATAATTCTTTCCCATGACCGGAATTACTGCTACGCCGAGCAGTCCGCTAAGACTAATTACGAAAATACTAACTGTTGAATATACCCAGACTGGAATAAATAAAAGTGACAATTTTTTATTGCCTTTCTTCAAAGAGGACTGACGTATCTTTAAAACTAAATTGATCATTGCATTTTGTTCGTTTACATCCACATGATACCTTTTACAGTATTACGCGCCGAATCCTCCGCTGTATAAAATTTATCGACTGGCATGACAGGCTTGTAATTCTCGGGTACTCGTATACAACCGTTTCTTTCCGAACTGGATTCGGCCGCTAATTGATACACAAGAACCGGACACACGCGTTCGAAAAGCCAGCTAGGCAATGTCGTCGTATTATTACTGGAAACGTAGTGCATATCTTGGGCAACGGTATTTAACAACTCTTGACTGTTTAAGCACTGAAATAGAAGTGAACGCACTGAATCGACGCATTATGTATAATTATAGTATAATTACTTTAAAACAAATTTCTACACTCAAGAATTAAGCTATTCTGATAAATAGCGCATATCTTACCCTTTCCTTGTTATTGTTATTATCTGCGTCGTGAAGTTTTTTTACTTGGAAAACTCTTACTATCTGTAACGTATGAAAATAGTTTTCTTGATAAGTTTATTATAATCTTTTAATGTGTACATCGATATGTGTTTATTACATAATTTATTTTATACATACTTCTATCAGTGGTATCATTATCCACCTCTAACGTATCAAATAATCTTAGTAGACCCAATTTCCGGACAAGTTTTTCAAAACCTTCCATAGTTATACTCGTTCCATCCCCGTAGGCCTCAAAGATCTTCTGCATGAAGTACCTCTCATTCACATCTCTTTTTAATCTAGATTTATTAACGGTACGTAAATCTTCGCTAGATCGTGCAGACCTTTGTTTCACACCTGCCACCAACTCTGTTTGAGCAAGACGCTCTAAAAGTTCGGTATCTCTCGAATTTATAGACACATTTGCATTGTTAATTGACGGTCGTGTGTCTTGCAGGCTGCCGCCGCCTTTGAAGCTTTCCGTCATCTGCTTCTTAAGATGAGTATCGTATGATGTAGTCGATATCGCGTCAGTGATTACCGAAACATTATTATTGTTATTACTGTCAATGCGTTGCGTAGTATAAGATCTTGCAGCGTCGTGCTTATTGCTAGTGAAGTTACTTGGATCGTATCTTTGTTGATCCTTCAAGTATATATATGATCGCCCTTGTGGATCCGAATGATTTTTGGTACTTGTTGAATTATTCGATGCCATCACTGACAAATTCGTATGCGCCGAACAGGGTACATGTGCGGCGCACAGTACACACACCACGCATACGGTAACGATATGATGCGACATGATGAGCAGAGACCTGAAAGCAGAGCATATATATAAATATAAATATATATATATAGCAGAATGTATACCGTATTTTAACTACCGATCTATAGGCAAATGGGAAGTTCTAAAGCGCGCATTTCAACTGTCGGAGAATTAATTCTGTATATTTACTAATGTACGTACAACATTGCGCAGGAAACAATTATCGGCATAAATTCTACGATAATATGTCAAGTATAACCAGATAGCGGCTCGAGTAATCAAATAATGATGATAACAGGGTTTTAATATTTCTCTTTCCTCACTATCTTCTTATCATCAGCGATACTATTTCTATCTTTTCCGTAATTACCGGCAAATTTTTATAACAATAAATATGATTAATTATTTTGATTAATACAAAAATTATTATGATTAGCACAAAAAGGACTTGAAGCTATTTAGCACCGCATTTTGACTTGTATATTTACATGACAATCCTACTTATAAACCACGATAACTTCATCGCGAACTAGAAGTGCTTGCGACAGCGTTTCGCAAACGTCTGACTTATAAGTGCAACAAAGCGTTTCTTTTATAAGTGATAGCGTTTATACGAAAACGCTAAAAACAAATTACTTAAAAAATTGTTCGACCTTCGCTTTCGTTACGTTTGGGTAACTCCCATCAATAATTCGTGCGATAGTAGTAAATTATTACAAGGCCGGTAAGGAAGAAAAAGCCCAGAAATATATACAAAAAAGCGTGTAAAAACGCTGGAAAAAATTTTTTTTCTAATGTTATTATTTTTTCGAAATTGTGTCAGATAACGAGCGAGCGAGCGAATCAGTGAACGAGCAAAATACGCTATTTGTTGAACATAAATATCTGTTCAACGCTGCATTTATTGATACAAGTAATCTGTGGCTAAGTCTAGACATATGCTCGTGTCACACTACGCATTGAAGATTGAGGATTGCGAGAATTAAGGATTAGAATTCGACCAATCAGATAGCTTTAATTTTAATCCGTTTCGTTCTAATCGGCTGAATTCTAATCCTCAATTCGTAATCCTCAGTCTCCAATGCGTAGTGTGACACGGACATAATACGGGCAATAGGCATAGGCCCATCCAGCGTCGCGACATCTTACGCAATGTATGCCACCTGACTCATTCTTCTGCCGCGTATATGTATATATAAACATCTAATCTATATTAAAAGCGTACTCTTGTGCGCGCATCACAATAAAACTATGCAGCTAAACCCGGCTAAATATAAAGTAACGATTAACTTCCCCATGAGATGACGAGCCGTTCGGCATTAAAGAGCGCGAAAGAGATTAAAATAAAGCTGATATGCGCGCACGTGAGCGCGCCACGTACATCTAAACGTGGCATCTCTCGTCCGCTCGTGCACTACATGTCTCTGTAAAAGGACCGGTGCGACGCGCAGATTGTTCTGTCGGAAATCCGAAAACGGCTCGGCTTGTTAATTAATTGCGTCGTCCCACGCGTGAGAATTGCGTTCTTCGTTTCGCCCAGTCTATTGGATCTGCTGACAAAAGAGTTTACTTGCAATTGTTTCTTCCTCGCGTGTACTCCGTGTTATCTTAGGATTAGCTTCGGTCGCTTCGGTCTATAATAGGTGTAGATATGTAATCCCCCCCCCTCTCTTAGCCTTTTGATCTAAGCCCTGAGTTAATTTGCTCTAAGCTCTAAATTTTGCAGTTGGAATCTAACTAACTTAAAGCTTAGGAATTACGACTTAAGATAGCATCGGGTTTGCCGGAAAAAAAAAAAAATTAAAGTAAGGTGGTACAATTCTGAATGAAATAACATTTGAATCCAATTTTCGAGGGTTCAAGTTTGGTAACCTTTTCATTGTGTGGGGGATACTGAAAGATATCAAACAGAAAGAAATAAAACTTGGACTTTGAAAATGGGATTCAAATTTTATCTCGTTCAAAATTGTACCGTGTTCAAAATTGTAGCGTGAAAAGCTCCGCAATCGAATCCAATTTTCAAGTATCAATAACAATCTGTTATAAAGTGTAAATCTAAACATTTTATTCAGAGGAATAATTATTGGTTCCCATAAATTGCGGGTGATAGGGTGTGATAACGTTTGCAGGCTGATAACGTACATGGCTAAAAATAAATCGATACCCGATCTCCGGTATTCATTCATATCTGCGAGCGATTCGACATCGATACGCGGTGTTCGCTCTCGCACCTTTTTTTTCTCTTTCAATCTGCTGACTGTTGTTGGCGACGCTGTGCTGTGTATATTCTACATCGATAAACAAGTATATACGCGCGGTTGTCGATCCTCGTGCGTTCGAGCATGCCGCGTATCACGCGTATGTATGCCATCGCGGATCGATGCGAGATCTCGATCTACTTACGCCTCGATCGAATCGCAGGGCACTGCTCCTTTTTACCGCGCAGATCCTTTTTTACAAGGAGAGAAAAAAAAGAAAGGACATCGCACGAAGGATTTCCATGCGTCGGTGAGGACTGAGGAGGGACCTTCGCGAACGCGGAAAAGTACAACCGAGAATTACGGCCGGCGCCGAAATAGTCGCGGCGTAGCCGCTGTCAAAAATTGTATTTTTAGCTGTCAAAAAATCGGAGGTGGGAGACGAGGAGAAGGCGAGAGAAGGGAACGAGGAGAGAAACCTCGTCGCCGTCCGGTGTCCTCCTTCTCCTCATTCTCCCTTCTTCGAGGTACCGTAATACCATTCGGTAGTTCGGTACGGCACGGCGCCGACTGACAGAATTTAGAATTTAGGTTAGGAAGGCCAGGGGCTTTCCAGCTCTCGCAGCAGGGTAACTGGGGATACGTGCCGTCGTTCGATCGAGGCTGCCCGGCGGTCCTGACGTCGAGTGCTGACGTACATCACGGTGACGATCGCGACGGCGACGATGAACAACGTCGTGGACCGTCACCGAGACCGAGGTTTTTTCTCTCTTTGTTTCTCTCTCACCCGGCAATTGCGTTGATCCGCGCGTGCGACACGGAGGTGTCGCGTGGAGAGCCGTGCGTGGCTTGGTGGCCGGTGCGTGTGGTCTTCCCTTTCTTTCCTACTTCCTTCCCTTCTCGCCTCTCTCTCGTCTCGTCTCTTCTCTTCTCTTCTCGCACGATCGCGACCGGGCGCTACTTCTTCGCACCCTCCTTTTCTATCCCACCTCTGTCTATGCCCCGTGACGAACTGCGCCGCAACCAGCCGCGACCGGCTGCACGGCCCGTGAGCAACAAGTACAGTATACTCCGAACGCTCTGAATGTAGCGCAGGAAGATGATAGCGCGGCGCGAACGATGAGCTTAGGTAGACTGGCAGCCTGCTGCCTGCTGGTCGCCCGACGGCGCGGGCCGTTTGCGCAACGCGATGCTCCACTATCCTCACCCTCACTCGTACATTCACGCGCCCATACAGACACATACAGACACATACAGAACGACGGACGTGAAGAGGATGAGGAAGAAGAGGACGGTCACTCGATGCTATATACTCACTCAGGAATACGCGCTTCTTTTCATTCCGATTCTAATTTGAAACATATATAATTTATTAATTATGTATCTATGTAATATATAAATATATTTTTTATACACTTGCAATATTTTTTAGAACAAAATCTTGATTTGCCTAAATGAAAAAGTTCAAGCTTTATGACATATCATAAAAATCTATGATATTAAATATAAAATTATATATAATTTTATATAATTATATATAAAATATGTGTTTACTCGGGGATTCGTCATTGAAATATATTACTTCTGCTTTGATATCTTCAATCTTCTGGTGTATTTATATGTTAAATCGACGACTTTTCCATATTTCCTTCTCTGTTTTTCATTCCTCTTTCTTTTTCTCTCTTACATCTTCTTAATCGAGCGTAAAACGAGATCCAGTATCGGCAACTGTCGCGTCTCGATAGAATTTGATTCGATTTTCGGCCTCGCAGGCCAATGAGATCGCGTCATCAGCGGCCAGGCGACAAATGTTACACATACCAATCGTCCTCCGCAATTAATCGCGATCAATCACAAACATGCTTCAACGTTCAGAACGCTCCCCCCTTCCGCCCCCAACGACTTGGGGACCACCCGGAAGGTTCTCACCATTTGATCGATCTTGACATAGTACGTGTGTTTGTCGGCGATAAAAGAGTCTGCAATTTGTAATAATACGCGATTGCTATTTCAGAAATTACAATTAAACTGGAGAGAATCAATTTTTTCTCTCGCTCGTATTTCATTTATAATATATTTTAGATCCGTACAACTGCTGAACAAACAGTAATATCATAACAATTGTTATAATGTCTTACTCAACAATATGTACGTAAAACATAATGTGTTATATTAGATTTATATACGTAGAGGAAGGTCACCGATACTGACATAGGTCTCCTAAAGCGACATCCCCTTATTTCTTAGAAACTAACCTTTGCACCTTATTAATACTAATAAAAACGTGATCTGTTTAGCTAATTAAAGAAGTACAAATTCATAATTCATATATTACCAAATCAGCTAAAAACAAATTCTATGAATCTGAGAAGGAAATTCTTACCGTGTTCTATTGCAAATTGCATAATTAAAATAATAGTGATTGTATTATTGATAATATTATGTCATTTTTAAATGTTTATAGTTTCATAAATTAGTTTTCTTTACAAAATAGGACATATCTTTATTTATAGAATAGGAATGTTGGAGCATTATTGCCTACTATGTCAGTTTTGGAGCCCATTTTGTCAAACGCTCATTTTTGCATAACTTACGAAAAATTTAATTATTGCAAAATTGCAAACAGTACTATAAAAACTGCTTATACTACCTGATAGAAGATATTTTTTAGTTTGTATTTATGTTTTTGAAGTTGTATTTTTACCTTTTGTTTAAGAAATATTGCCTAAGACAAAGTGATATGTCGGTATCGGTGACCTTCCTCTATATTGTTAAAAGCAGAGTTGGCAAAAAATGTTTCTTTTTTTTTACATAAAACATTGTGTTTTTAACATGTTTTTAATGCTTTGTACATGCTTTAAACAATATTATAAAAAAACTTGTTTAAAACATGTTAAAAACATCGATTAAGCATGTTTTAAATAGTTTAGAATATGTTTAAAACATGATTTCTACAAACTCTGGTTAAAAGGAATTATAATATTGACGCAATATAGTATGTATTCTGTGGATAACGAAACGTGATAGAAATGGTTAACAAATGTTAAGTTTATCTAATTATAAACTTGACATATAAGTTGGAGTTTTTATTTAATGCTGCTGATCCGTGAGTATAGTCACCACAGCCATATTGAATCGTGACGTCAGAAGCGAGAAATGACCAAATGACACGTTAATTTATGTTGCATTTCATTTATAAATAAAGACGATTTGGATAAAACAAAATGATGAGATTGCTTTAAAACATTTGTAAAAATCGACGAAAACTACCCAATGGGGAAAAAAACGTTTGGAAAACATTTTTGGAAACGTTAAGAAAATGTTTTCAAAAACGTTTAAAATAACGTAAAAAGTCTCATTTTTTTCATTAAAAAATCGTTAATTTAAACGTTAAAAAAACGTTTGTTTAATGTTAAAAAACCTTTTTTTAGTATTTGAAGAAAATGTTTCTTTAATTGTAAAAAAACGTTTTTTTAATATTTGAGGGAAATATTTTTTTAATGTTTAAAAAACGTTTATTTAACGTTTGAAGAAACATTTATTCAACGTTAAAAAAACGTTCTTTAATATTAAAATTATTTGAACAAAATTAGAAAAAATAACGTAGAATCTTTTTTTAACTTACTTTTTTTATCAACAGTGCCTAAAAATCTTAGACAACTAATTTTATTAATTAATTCTAATTTTTAATTATATTTTAATCTTTTTCACTTACTGACCGGGTTTTGAACCTAGGACCTCAGGATTATGGAGTCTCGTCCTTTATCCCTTACGCCATTTGTAACGATGCACACCGTTCTTATTGTCCATATATGATACACAACGCAATTATATCGTGTTAATTTTTCTTCCGTGATTATTTCATTATTCCGATCTGTTTTTTATTAATTTGAGTTTTAGAAAATAATAACATTTTTTACATATTTATAATAGACGTTAGATAAACGTTAAATAAATGTGTTTTTACTTAAATAAAATATTTTAAATAAATGAATAACAAAAAACCAACGTTTAATAAATTTCATATAAAAATTTCGTTTAAAAAATGTTATTTTGAAAACGAATTATAAAACGTATTATAAAATTAACTACAAATAAACGTTTAAAAAACATTTAATAAACATTAAATAAATGTTTTTTTAAACCATTATTTCAAACAAATAATTATTGTGAAATGAACATTTACTAAAAGTTAAACAAACATTTAAAAAATATATCTTTAAACCTTTATTTCAAACGAATAATTAATGTAAAATAAATATTTAATAAACGTTAAATAAATGTTTAATAAATGTTCCTTCGAAACATTATGTCAAACGGAAAATTAATGTAAAACAAGCATTTAATTAACGTTAAATAAATGTTTAAAAAATGTTTTTTCGAAACATTATTTGGAACGAAAAATTTGTGTACAATTAGCATTTAATAAATTTTAAATAAATCTTTGGAACATATTTTTTCGTATCGTTATTTGAAATGAAAAATTAATGTAAAACAAACATTTAATAGACGTTAAACAAATGTAATTTTAAAAACGAATCGTGAAATGTAAAATTAATAAAAAATTAACGTTTAAAAAACATTTTCTCCCCATTGGGTATAATTATCCTCCCTGACAGTCAGTAAATAATCGTAAAAAGTGATAAAAGGCACGTACGTGTAAGTGAAAATAAGCTACGCATGCGCATTGAATAATAGCATTTATACGTGCCTTTTATCACTTTTTACGATTATTTACTGACTGTCAGGAGGGATAAGCATAGTTTTCATCGACTTTTACGAATGTTTTAAAACAATCTCGTCATTTTATTTTATCCAAATTGTCTTTATTTACAAATGGCATGCAACATAAATTAACGTGTCATTTGATCATTTCTCGCTTCTGACGTCACAATTCAATATGGCTGTGGTGACTACTCAGCTTATATTTTAAATACGTATAATTTAAATATAAATTTTCAATGTATAATTCGAATATATAATATGTTGCAAACAATTGCATGTAGTAAAAATCTCTAAAAACTTGGAGATCTTTATCTGAGGATCATTGATTGTGTATTTTCAAACACACAAGGTGAAAATTACAAAAGTGAGCAAATTCACCAGATTTTGACTAATGGAATTATAAATATTCTAATAATAAATTCGCTCACTTTTGTAATTTTCACCTTATTTCAAAATTCAGTTCGCGCACATTCGCGCATTGTACATACAGGGTCCGCCAAAAGTCCCGGGCCGGCTGAATATTTCAGAAAATATGCATTTTTGAAAAAAATGTTTCAGACAAAAGTTGTAGGGTTTAAAAAGATCTATTCACTGATCGCATCCGCTTGACTTAAATTTGGGTGGCGCCACCAAGGTCAGGTCAGGTCAACGTCAAATTAATTTTTTTAATTGGAACACCCTATTTTTGATGCCAGAATTTAATAGCTGGTGTCAAGAGCTTTTTAAAACACTATAATAAAGTTATTTTTCATTAAGTACTTTTCGAGTTATAAGGCTTGAAAATTACAGTACCGCCGGTATTAGCATTACGCAAGGTGTCCAATCGATGACTTTGATCTTGACGAATGTTACCTAGGACATGATCCTGAACAACATTCAAGAGGTTTTAGCCATCGATCAGACACCTTGCGTAATGCTAATACCGGCGGTACTGTAATTTTCAAGCCTTATAACTCGAAAAGTACTTAATGAAAAATAACTTTATTATAGTGTTTTAAAAAGCTCTTGACACCAGCTATTAAATTCTGACATCAAAAATAGGATGTTCCATTTAAAAAAATTAATTTGACCTTGACCTGACCTTGGTGGCGCCACCCAAAGTCAAGCTGATGTGATCAGAGAGAGTGAATAGATTTTTTTTAAATCCAACAACTTTTGTCTGAAACATTTTTCTCAAAAATGCGTATTTTCTGAAATATTCAGCCGGCCCGGGATTTTTGGCGGACCCTGTATATAATGCGAATCAATTAATTTTTGTTTTGAAATACTCTTTATTTTATTTTATTATCTCGTAGCGTAAGTTTTTTTTGCTCTGTTGCTGAATTCCATTGTTTCTCTTTTTTTCAGCTCTCCAACGATTGTTCGCTAATTTCATTTCTAAGCAAAAAAACATATCGCAGCTATAAAACGCCGACCAAAATTTAAACCGCGGCGGAAAATTACAAGTCTTATCAAGAAGGAAATGCGAGCTTCTTGTTTAACGGTCATGTATTCTTATCAGAATGAGTTTCAAGATATAGAAAAGAAAAGTAATTTGTCGTTGCACACACGTGTCTTGCATGCATTTCTATCTGGCCTCAAGTCCTCGAAGGTTACTTTTCGACGAATAATAACATAATAATTAATGTAATAACATAATATAAAAATAATGTACAATTTCATAAATAACTGCGAGACAGAGATTTGATTTAATTGTAAGATTTAATTTTTGCATTGATTCAGGAGAAATCTCGAGTCGACGCGGAAGAAACCGGAGGTATTTCCACAAGGGAGTATCTCGATCGATACTTAATTAATTTACACGGTAAATGTGACTTTCGATTAAATTCCAATTAATTTATAAGTAATCGGCGATATTGATTTAATTGGAAGAGCCAACAAGTTTTAATTGTAACTACACATAATTTAACATTACAATCAAACTTTTTTTCCACAACGATAATTCTACGCACCATTGTATCGTAAAAGTATATCATTTAATAAATTAATCGGTGATTAAATTAATCAAAATATAGTCGAATTTTTTTATGAATTTGGTTCATTTTTGTCGCTGCCTTTACTTCGCGTAAGATATAAACTGGCCATAAACGTGCGCGCGCGCGCGCGCGCGCGCGCGTGTGTGTGTGTGTGTGTGTGTGGAGTCGTAAGGGAGAAAGTGCGTGTAGCGCGTAAGCGTGTTCGTTTCTCGCTCGTGGCGCTTTTATGCGAGCGATCGGTTGTGGATCTCGAGGGCAGCGAAATAAGAGGCAGCGTTGTCGTACGATTATCGTAGACATGCCACACGTACTGTTGGGCGATTCGATTGCAGTGGAATTGGAAGGTAAAGTTTGAAAATCTCGTTCAATCGCATTGTCCAAACAGCCGTTCTTACAAATCCCGCATGAGTGATCTAACCTTACATCAACAAATTGTAAACAAAACCGCGCGTAACCTTGCGTGCTGTCACCGTTAAATTCGTAAATACCCAACTATTCGACCTTGCCTCAATCGTCTGGTTTTTTCCCTTACGTCATAACTTTTCACTCGTAGTTTCTCACATGTATGCGAGTACTGATTATGTAAGTGTCATTAGAGAATATAGATGAACCACCTTGTGAACGTCGATAATAATTGCATTCTCTTGTCGCAGCTCAGGAGCCATGGCCACAACCGATTACCTTGTATCAACCGTATGAGGTCGAGCAGATTCTGCTTCCCGACAATGCAAACTGTCTGGCGGTACAGGCTTTCCTCAAGATGTGTCAGCTTGATTTTCAAATAGAACCGAGGAAGAATGCAGAGTTTATGTCACCGTCAGGCCGCGTGCCCTTTATCAGGTGCGGCACGAAATTAATATCCGAGTTTGATGGTATAGTGGCACATATAGGAAGTAAAGGAATAAGCCTCTCCGATCATCTGGATCCTAATGGCAAAGTGGACATGAGGGCATACCAGTCTCTTGTTAACAATGTATTTGTTAATGCAGAGCTGTACATCTGCTGGGTAGATCCGGCGATTTTAAATGTCACAAAGCAGAGGCACGGAAGCGTATACCCTTGGCCGCTTAATCATTATCTGAATTGGCAGAAGAGACGAGAAGTCATAAAAAAACTCAGCGTACTCGGCTGGTACAACAAAAGTTTGGATGAAGTTTTTGACGACGTAAAGAAGTGTTGCATAGCATTATCTGAGAGGCTAGCGGACTGAAAGAGTAAGTAGTGGTTGTATTTCTTCTCACTTCTTTATGTTATCAATTCAATTGACACTTAACAAATTACAATCCTGTTCCATAAGACCCACCGAAGTCGATGCCCTGGTATACGGTCATATTTACACTCTCACGTCGCCCTCCTTTCCTTCCAACGAAGAAGTCGCTGCCATGATCCGTCAGTTTCCCAAGCTTATCGAGCACATGTTCAGAATCGAACACCGTTACTTTAGTTTTGGAATACAAAACGAGATTGCGGAAGAGTTTGAAATAATTGAGTCATCCTCCAAAGATACTCTGTGGGATGGCTTTCGATCACAGCCTGAATCGCTTCCTCCTCTTTCCGAGCATTCTTTTACATTGTCGATAAATTAACGAAATATATCTAACTTTTTCTAAGTAAATATGTAACTTTCTAAGTAAATATGTAACTAAATATGATTTTACAAATATATAAGTATATATCGACCGCTAGATGCGATATTAACAAGATTTTTTCGCATGATTTTGTATGTAGCAAACCCAACGAGTTGGACGCTTTGGTTTTTGGTCATATATTCACTATAATCACGACGCCGCTACTTGACAACAAGTTGGCTATGATTATACGGGATCATCCGAAGCTCGTGAATCTCTGTAAACGCATCGAGATTAGGTATTTTCAGCGTACGGAGGATTAGATAGAACTTTACTCGGACTTCAGATATATCGAGTTGCGGTACACCGATTACGTTCATCGTAAGTTGAAGTTCCTGTGTTTTGCCACTGACGCGACCAAGGATGATCATATCAAGGAAAATCTTTGTAGCATTCAATAAAATGACTCTCGAGTCTCAATGATATGCTGTTAAAAGACGCTTTCTGTTTATGACACAAGTAACACAAATGTTGTTCTATCTTGACATTCCATGAGTAACAAAGACAGAACGATACTTATATCAACTTGTGTTCCAAATAAGACCGTCTAAAAACAGTGTCTTATTTTCTCTTGCTGCAAGATGGATATATCTGAAGTGCGAGTAATGTTGAAGCATGATATGTAGTACATTTTCATGTTTTAGACTTGTTATAAACACATGAGATATATATATATATATATATATATTAAAGTTGATCATTCCATGATAATGTCTTTTAAATGCATAATATTGCATATAACATTTTTCAGCTTTTTTTCTCCTCAAGCTATAGACAGTCAGACTAATGAAACGCTGGAGTTCAAGAATTAAGCCAATGATCCAACCGTACAGAGGATATCGAATTAAAAGAACACGACGACTTTTGTCTAAACTAAATTTAAACGTGATATCCCAGTGTCAGGCAATAAAAGCATGCCAAAATATGTTGAAGTACGGTTTCGGAAGCTATTGACTAGGTATAAAATCTCGTGTTTATAAAATGTACCGCCAATTATGTCATATCAATGTTCCTGGTGATATTTATATCTTTCTATATATTTATAATTATTTTATTCAAGTATGTAATTAATAACATTATGTATATTGTTAAGCACGCACTGTTACGTTAAAGTATATCATATATGTACATGCATAATGTAGATGCAGGGAGAAACAATTTTCTAGTCAATATACCAATCTCCATTTTTATGTCTGTTTTATGCAGATACAGGAGAGGTAACTTTCAATGTATACGTCGTGTATATATGTAATGACTGCATGTAAAATTTGAATACAACCTTCCTTTGAGTCTATGTTTAATGTTCAATATGTTTCTTGTCTCCAGCGTTTCAGTCATTGCACCATTGAAACGCAAATCAAAAGAAATCTGTCTATTTATTATTTTATTGATATTATGTCTGTCGTCAATTTAGTTTTATAACAATGACACTGTCGTTAAGAATTTAACTTCAGGGTGATTGGCTATACGTGATTCAAATAATTTCACGAATAACAATCAATTTGCTTTATTATTATTACGTGTTTGTGCATAATGTGAGTATAATCTTAAACTATCATAAACACTACGAGATGTAAGATTTCTGCGATGCTTTCTGTTACATTATGCTGCTAATTCTGTTCTTTTTGATACTGAATTCGGTCTATACTTATATTATGAATTATACACGGATTTATAATGTAGCACATGTAATCGTGTATAATTATATAATTATATGACGCGCATAATTATATAATTATTGACAGATATTCTTAACATCTTCGTATATGTATATATATACATATATGTATATATATATGTAAATTTTTTCAAAAACTTTCAAGAATTGCAATCTAGATGTACAGATTTAAAAATTGTTTTAAAAATATAAGTAATTTATATAATTAAAACATAAAATAGAAAATCAGGAGAGAGAGAGAGAGAGAGAGAGAGAAAGAACGTGTAAAAATAAAAGATTTTAAATAAAATTAAAAAATATTTTTAAAATCTCAAATAGTAAGATAAACAGAGATCATAAATTCCACATATAATACAGAAAAAATTAATGAATTATTAATCACAAATATATTGCTCTTAAATATTGTTATGATAATAAATTGTGAAATAATATTTTGTACGTAAAAGATACGAGTCTCATTATATACACAGAGGTCGTACAATCACGTTATGGAGAGACTTGGTATTCATTTGGAAGTATTAATAGAAACTATACAGTAATCATAAGATTATTATGCTCACTGATATTTTCTTGACATTTGATTTTTTTAAGACTTTAGACTTTAAATCTAAACGAATGTACTAACAAAATCGCACATATGCAACACCTTTGTTCACAGATACTTTTTTTTTGTGAACAATGAATCAGAACAGTAATTCCAAAAATCTAAAAGTATTTAATTTCATCTATATATACCAACAGGCATATATTCATTTGTGAAACATTGTAAAGTATTATATTATAGCGGCTTATATGCTACGTATCGCGGAATAACTATTATTTATCTATTTAGTATCCAGGGCTGGGTAATCATTTAAAATGCCAAATATAAAATACTTAAAAAAATGTATTTAAAATGTAAAATGTTTTTCGAATGCACTTTATATGTAAAATGGGTAAATAGATATTTTAAATAGTTTTCAAATACAGAATGGTTTTCCCTACATACATTTTAATATACATTTTTTTAAGTATTTTACATTTAGCATTTTAAATAGAATTACATTTTAAATGGCATTTTAAATGCAAAAATACCCAGCCCTGTAGTATCTTTTAAGATATTTTGTATTTTTTCTTTTTTTTGTTGGTTGCGAGATACTTCAACCTTAAATTTTATGTGTATGCTATTTAAATTAATCCGGTGGTAGAAAGCTGAATAGTCGGAACTGTTCTCTAATGCGTGGCCTTACGTCACCTCCCTGGAAAATAAAAATAATTAAAAAAGTTATTAAATAACTATATTCTAATAATAAATATATCAGAGAATATATATATGATAAGAGCTTACCCAGTTTACCAGATTTTCTAAAAACGGTAATAATTTCATTAGTTCGTTATCTGAACGATCGGCAAACCAACTTTCTATAGGTATACCATTTTCTAACTGTAACACAAAACATGTGGTTTTCATAAGTATATATTCTATATTAGTGATTGCATAAGATGTATGTATATATAAATGACAAGCTATATTAAGTCACCTGATATCCAAATGCTTGTGGACTGTTGTCAATGATGACGGTTTTAGATAGATCTCTGCCTAAGATGGACAAGTCCTTTATGTAATTTCCATTAACGCATACACAGTGCTCCCTGAACAGACGATACTTGATCAGCTTCCGTGTTGGATCCAGTAAATTCATCAGTTTGTTGGCGTACACTCGTTTGCTCGCCGTGAATAAAATCACCTCGTAGAGCGACGAGACGTGTTCAAGGAATTCGCGGAAGTACGGTCGCGTTCTAACGAATACCGTGTACGTTACGTCTTGAAAGACTACCGGGAAGCGAAATGCCGCGTCAGATAGTTCTTGCAGACTGCAGTGAACCAATGTTTCATCCTATAAAAGGATCATAGATAAATGTAGCTGTTCAAAAATCACTGCTCTTATATCGTAAATATATATATGGAGACAGAAATGTTATGAATTTTATCATATAGAAAATTAAAATAACATAGAATGACATCTGAATCTGTGTTTAAATATTTGGACAATGTCTAATAAATGTATGTGTTAAGATTTTTATCTACGTGTATATGTGTACTTGTTCCGAGTGTGTTGAGCGAGCATACCAAATCCAGGACCAGACTGAACTCCGGACTACTCCGTGTTTTGAGTGGTAGAGCCGGACATCTTGCTCTCATCGCCGGCGTAAGAGGCGGCAAGTGCTTGATGAAGACATAAGGATCGAATGGCTCCCAATCTTCCTGAACTTGAGTAACCATGTTCTCTACATCGCAAGATTCTACTATCTCCTCGCTACCCACCTCCATGTATTCAACCTCGTGATAACGACTGCCGACGTCCTCGGAATCATATTTGTCACTAAGATTGCCATTCGTATCAGATGGATGATGAGGATTTATATTGTACATACTTGCTGGTATACTGTATTTTGTACTGGGATATCCAGCAGTTGTTTCATATTTTGTTGGGTCTGTTTCAATAGCATATTGATCTTTTGGGAGATCGCCGCGGTTTTCATTGTTATCGATTAGCGAGTACTTTCCTCCGTTCGGGAAGTATTTGTCGGACGAGTTGTACGCGGTACGGACGTTATATATCGACGTTGAGTGCATCAAACTGTAATATTCTGCAGACGTTTCGGCATGCGCGTATAAAGAGGAGTAGTGTATCGATGACGGTAGTGTAGTATCTAAAAGAAAAAAAAGGAAGGGACAGAGAAAACGTAAAAAAATATAAATTAGAATTAATTAATTACACTACACAAGCATATATAAATATACGAGTACCGTTGTTCTTGCTTCCTTCATCATCAAGCAAGCATGTGAGATCTGACTGCGATCCTAGAGATACCGGAGGCATTAGACACGCCAACGAAGATACACTTGGTATGGAAGATTTCAAGTCATGTATCGGCGGTATCATCAAACTTCGCGAGTCCGTATTAGTTACTGACGAGAAAAGAGGCAGAGTAGTAGATCCGCCATTCCAATTTTCCTTGGATTCCTCCGAAGCTTTAGATGGCGATGCGTTTTTAGCAGACTAGAAAACGCATGTATTACATTGTAATAATTTATGCTCAATTTCTTCATTTCCAGATATGTTTAGCCAGGAAATATCTCCATTGAAATGTGGAAGACATCTCCTGGATAAAGTTATCTAGAGGTGAAGAAATTGGGCATTATAGTGATACAGCTATCTTCATCATAGAGTAACTTACAATAACTGTGTCAATTGGCGGAGCACGATGCAAAGGGGTCGATGTAACCATCGACCGTTTTATGCATTTTCTTCTGCGAGGTCCTCTTTCCCGTCTAATAGGCGTGGATTTGGCAAAGTGTAAAACATTTTCTTTACAAGCCTACGAAAGTAACAATCTTTTTAATAGAATAAAAAAAATGCAAAAATAGTCTATTAAGAATACCCGATATCATAATGTATGATATGAACAATTCTTTTAAATCTTTTATCTTTTGTAAATATTTAACTTACTTCTTTTAAAAAACTGGATGATCTACGTCGCCACTGACTCAATCGGCTGCATTTACTTGACGTTATTACTCGACTACTGTTACTAATATGTTGTACTTTTCTTGCAACTTGCGCTCGATGGCCAGTTGCCTTTGATGCCGTTACACCGCTTAAACGGCCACGCAATCTCCTGCTAATCCGTTCGCTTCTCAGCCACATTTCAACAAAGTTGTTAAGTGTCCTGAAATGATACAATACTAATCTTGAAGAGTTCCCACAGGAAGAAAGATAATGTAAATGCGCGTAAATAAAACGTATATCTAACAAGTTCCTGATGAAACATATATTAAAATTACTTTGCTTCTAAAAATCATATTTTTGGGGGAAACATAATTTCTTTTTGGGATATATTAAAAATTGCGATAAAAATTGAAGATTTTAACATACCTATTTTTAAGAAGAAAATAATTTTATTTCTCTTTTAAAAATATGTTAAAATCTTCAATTTTTATCGCGATTTTTCGGAATAATTAAAGGTGATATAATCATGTCAGAAATTGTTATTTCGACCTGAGCGTTTTCAGATCTGTCAAGGATGCCGCGGCGTGCGGCAGCTAGAAGCAAATCGGAGTAGTCACGGGCTGTAAGGTGGTTTCAGAGTAGAGATCTCACGAGACGTCAGCGCGTGGGATGTTTCGCGCCGGCTAAGATCGCGCGGGAAAGAAGTTCGATCGTTTCATAAAAAGGGGCGTTCCGGAAGCGCGTCTGTGTACGTGAGGGCACGCGCGCGCGCGCCACACACACACACACACACACTCAGATCGCCTCTTACGGCACCCACGTTTGACGTTCCCCGTTTCCGCTGCGTATGCCGCGTGTGGACGTACGCCTATGTCCGTGTGGAACACGCGCAAATACACATTCACACACGTACGGCGAGTCGTATATCGATTTACATGCGGCCCGCCGCCTGTACGTCGCGTCGCGGCGGTTTCGCCGGGAGACATTTCATGCCGGTCGACGAATTCTTAAAAGATTTTAGAATCTGACGGAGGATCGTTTATTGTTATCCTGCCCACACAAAGATTTTTGAAAGTACGACATGGCATGGCATGGCATGGCATGGCATGGCATGGCATGGCATGACATGTGACGTGACGTGACGTGACGTTACGTTACGTTACGTTGCGTTGCGTTGCGTTGCGTTGCGTTGCATCGCATTACGTCGCGTCGCGTCGCGTCGCATCGCATCGCATCGCAACGGCGCGGCGGCGGTGACAAGATCAGTAGGAGGGGGAACGGGGCGCGGAGGCGACAACGAACCACAGTGAGCGAGACAATCGTGGGACAGGTGAAAATTCGCGCGAAAATCGGCGGCTGGGCCGGCCGGGCATGACGGTTGATAACCGCGGTTGCTTACCATACTCCGCGGCGAGTCGGCGGCGGCCGGCGCGCTCGCACACCGGCACGGAACGGACGTAACGCGGCCGAGGCTCACACACGCGTCTCATTCAAAATCTCTCGACGCCGTCGCGTGCGCTTATCATCCCTCCGAAACTACACAACAAACATGGCCGACGGCGTCACCGTCGACAAGCACTCGCGGCGTCAAGCGCGGCGCCGTGGCCTCGGCACCGCGATCCGCGCTACCCGCGCTGACGCGCATTTATTTCCGCCGTGCGATGGGACGAATGACGAGCGGCGCACGAACCTCCCACCCAGGTGACGGTTTCGATGATGTCGACAGGTGTCGGATTGCTGTTTCGACACCCGACGTACATACATCCGGTCACCGCCGTTCGCGCCGCACCGCGCCGTCGCTGCTGTTTCCTCCACGACTTCCGCTGTCTTTTACTAATCCCACTCAATATAGGGATCTGCGTTCGGAAACGTCGTTCGGATGCCTCCGATGCCTCGGATTCATTATTTCTCCTTGTTTAATATACGAGGTTTGTTCGCGTGGCATGCTCCAACACGTTCCAATATGCTCCTACCATAACTCCTATTCACTCCAACGTGATTGATAGAGTGAGAAAGAGCTATGGTGGAGCATGTTGGAGCATGTTGGAGCTTGCGATTCGAACAAATCTTTACCCCGGATCTACAATAGAGTGTTAAGCTTTAAGCCATAAGAAATGGACGAATCATAGTCGATTATTCTCCTTGAATTCGACTATAATTGGTCAATTTCTTATGACTTAAGGCTTAAAACACCTATTGTAGATCCGGGGTTATGTCGGATCTACAATAGAAGTCGTAGCAGTCGTAAAGTCTTAAGTCGTAGAAAATTGACCAATCACAGTCGAATATGAAAAGAATAATCAATTGTGATTGGTCAATTTTCTACAACTTAAGACCCTGCGACCGCTACGACTTCTATTGTAGACTCCGCATTAGTCATATATAAAGCTCTATATTAATAAAGTAGCGCATTTCTTTGATCCGAAGAAGCCGAAATACCGACAACTGTCCTATTGGCTATTTCGACCGCCATTGTTCGCCCTAATTGTCTGTAGTCCAATAAGCGCTTAGTATTGCTTAGTATTACTGGTATATGGTAAGGTTAGTAGGTCTGTAGTCCAATATGGCGGACTAATGCGCTACTTTATTAATATAGAGCTTTACCCCATGGATCTATAATACAGGGTGTCTGGCAACGACCGAAAAATATTTCGTGCGTGGGTAGAACAGATTACATTGGCTGCGTTCAGCAGACTCAACAGTTTTGCAACCGTTTTATGATTGTCTGCTGAGATAGGACCATTCTTCTAGATCTAAAAGTATGATCCAATTAGCGCGAAGGAAACTTCCAACAGTTGCAAAACAAATGTTCTGCTGAACGCAGCCATTGGGTGCGTTCAGCAGAAC